GATCCACCTGCCTCTGCCTCCCGAGTGATGGGATTAAAGGTGTATGCCACCAACGCCCGGCTGGGCATCCCATTCTTTGAAGCACAGTGAATCCTGACCCACTCATGTCCTTGTCTACAGGAACCCTGGGACTTTTCTAGGTCATTGTGAGCAGCTGGTGACAGTCCTGTGGTGGTGAGCCCCTGCTCTTGAGGTCACTTACCGGCTATCCTCTGCATCTTCATACGCCTAGCCTGGATGCGGCCCTTGGCCAGGCGCTGCTTGGCAATGATGCAGCGGATATGATCAGAGAACACGAAGGTGGCCTGCAGGATGGGGAAGGGCTTAGAGTGTGGGCTGGAGGCAGGTTTGTGGATGGTGATATTCAGGGCACGGCTGTCATCCTCCACTCCTGTCACCTGCATGTCCTGTATAGTTAGAAGGCAAAGGCAAAAATGTTCATCAGGCCCAGGGACCAGCAGATTGAGAGGTGTCAGTGTCAAGTAGAAAGACACCAGAACTTTGAGTCTGGTTTTATTTTGAAGGAGAACAAATCTCGAAGATTCAAAGGTGGGTGCAGGCCTAATAGGGGAAAAGGGGTCAATGCTGCTGGGTGTCATGGCTAGTACTACTTTCCATGACTTGGGATGCTTAATGATTAAAGAGGCACACCAGTCTCTTCAAGGGCCACCACTGTCACAATAAGAAAACTCCAATAATCTTTCCAAATACTTGTCACTACCTGGTGTTGTGTTAGACACTATCTCCTTGTTTCTCTTAAAAAATGGGCCATTGTTGGTGTCCTTTGTTACATCTTGGGGGACAGTCCCTGAAAGAGGGCCACCAGGACCATTTAGCAGAAACTTCAGGCAAGCCGCATGTGAAAGGGAGAAAAGACACTGACAAGCAGTGAATATATAAGGATTGTTTTCACATAAAGCCTCAGAATGGGTTCTGCGCCGAGTCTGCTACCCACAAAGGTTAAAGGGCACATGAGATGAAAGTGTACCAGACAGAAGATGGACTCAAAGGTCAGCCATACTAGAGGAGGTTCAGAAGGAAGGGGCTACTGCTCTTGGGCACTGCATTTGTCTCTCTTTGGAAAGAATGTCTGCATCAAAGGGTGGCAGCAGATCACGTGACACTATTACAAATTCAAAGCAGGGAACAAGGTGTATAGTAACAGCCTCACAAATAGTAGCTATTGAAAGAGAACCAAAAAAGGTGGTGCTGATGGGGTTATAGCTTTCATTGTCTGAAAGATGACATACATCAATCTTCTGAGACAGAAAACACTTTCCTGACATTAAGTTCTAAAGAAATTGGTGTAAGCCTTGACAATAAGATGTCAAGTCATCTACTGGGCGGTGTTTTACACAGGAATCCCTCAGGGGTGGAGAAGATCCTGCTACATCTTCATTGAAAGACATGAGGGTCTGGAAAGAGAGGAAGGAGTCTGGGAAAGAGAGGATGTAGGAGCAGCATCTTCATGCATAGGTGCGTCCCATGAACAGCAGGCAACAACTGCCTGGTCAATGCTGTGGTGAGCAGTCGCATCAGCCTGGGCAAAGTCCTTCTGGGAACCAGAATGCACAGCAAGGAAATGGACTTCTTTAAAGTAGAGTGAGCAGCAGGCTGAGGCGGGTTTGCTGGGAATTTAGGGACAGGACACAGTAGAGATGAAGTAGAAAGCTGTTCTCCATTCTGTGGGCTCTTTGTTTTATTCTCTCTGCAGCCAGACATTAGTCACCCACTGCACTTAAAACAAACACACTGTAAAACATAGAGAGCCAATTGATATGTGGTGCTGTAGAGCCTGCCGTGCTCCAGAGAGCCAAGGAGGGAATTCTCAGGAACTCCTGTGGCAACAATGGTGTTAGAGGAAGTTGGCAGGAGCTATGAACTCCTAAAATAGCCACATTCCAAATTCTTGGTTATCTGCCTAGGGAAATCCTGCCAGGGGCATGAGGAAGTGGAGCACCAGGTTTGCAACAGCATGCCTGGAAAGTTGGGGATGGCTGAGCATGCCCTGCTGTAGCCACACAGCCATTAAAGGAATTGTAGCAGGTTTCTGAAGTATGACCTAATGATTCTCTATATTTCCTGGAGTCTGTTGTTATGTCCCCCGTTTTTTAGTTTGGATATGGGTTTATCAACTTCTTTGATTTTCTCAAAGAACCAACTCTTTGTTTCACTGATTCTTTGTATTGTTCTCTTTGTTTCTATTTTACTGATTTCAGCCCTCAGTTTGATTATTTCCTGCCCTCGACTCCTCTTGGGTGAGTTTGTTTCTTTTTGTTTAGAGTTTTCAGTTGTGCTGTTAAGTAGATACTATGAGAGCTCTCTAGTTTCTTCATGAAGGTATTTAGTGCTATGAATTTTCCTCTTAGCACCGATTTCATTGTGTCCCATAAGTTTGGGTATGTTGTGCATTCATTTTCATTGAAGTCTAGGAAGTCTTTAACTTCTTTATTTCTTCCTTAACAGTGATAACTTAGTACAGAGTTGTTCAGTTTCCATGAATTTGTAGACTTTCTGTTGTTTTTGGTTGTTGTTGAAACCCAACTTTAATACATGGTGGTATGATAAGATACAGGGGGTTATTTCAATTTTTTTTTCTATCTGTTGAGACTTGTTTTGTGGCCGAGTATATGGTCAATTTTGGAGAAGGTTCTACACAGTACTGAGAAGAATATATGTTCTTTTGTGCTTTCAAATATCTTCTTCAATTTCTTTCTTCAAAGACTTCAAGTTCTTGTCTTGTCATATAGGTCTTTCATTTGCTTGGTAAGAGTGACACCAATAATACTTTATATTATTTGAGGTTATTGTAAAGGGTGTTGATTCTCTGATTTCTTTCTGGGTCTTTTTTGGTTTTTCGAGACAGGGTTTCTCTGTGTAGCTTTGGAGCCTATTCTGGCACTCGTTCTGAAGATGTGCTATGTAGACCAGGCTGGCCTCAAACTCACAGAGATCTGCCTGCCTCTGCCTCCCGATTGCTGGGATTAAAGGCGTGTGCCACCAACGCCCGGCTCTCGGTCATTTTTTATTTGTATATAGGAGGTTTACTCATTTTTTTTTTGAGTTAATCTTGTATCCAGCCATTTTGACTAAAGGTGTTTATCAGCTGTAGGAGATCCTGAGCAGAGTTTTTGGGGTCACTTATATATATTATCATATCTTCTATGAAAAATGATACTTTGACATCTTCCTTTCCAATTTGTATCCTTCTTTAGTTGTTTTATTGTTCTAGCTAGAACTTTGAGTACTATATTGAATAGATAATGGAGGCAGTGACAACCTTGTCTTGTTCCTGATTTAGTGGAATTGCTTTGAGTGTCTCTCCATTTAATTTGATGCTGGCAATCGGATTGCTATATATTGTTTTTAAGTATGTCCCTTGTCCCCAATCTCTCTAAGACTTTTATCAGGAAGGGGTGTTGGACTGACTTTTGTCAAAGGCTTTCTCAGTATCTAAGATGATGATCATATGGTTTTTTTTTTTTGAGTTTGTTTATATGGTAGATTACATTGACAGATTTTCATATGCTGAACCATTCCTGCATCTCTGGGATGAAGCCTACTTAGTCAAGGTGGATGATTTTTTTGATGTGTTCTTGGATTTTGTTTGCCAGTATTTTGTTAGTTTTGCATCTATGTTCATGAGTGAAATTGGTCTATAATTCCACTAAGTAGCTTTGGCTGGTCTGGAACTAGCTATGTAGACCAGGTTGGCCTTAGACTCACAGAGACGCACCTGCCCCTGTTTCTCAAGTACTGGAATTAAAGGCTTTGCCACCACCACACCTGGTCTGTTTGTTTTTATTTTTTTGTGACAGTGCAGGCTGGCCTCAGACTCCCTAGGTAGCCAAGGATAACCTTTAACTTCTGAATATTTTGCCTCTCTCCCCTAACTTCCAGTGTTCTAGACATGTATGATTATACCTACTTTTGTTGTGGTGCTGGGAGTGGACTCCAAGGCCTCATACATACTAGGTAAGCACTCCATACGAGGCAAGCTACAGTCCCAGCACTCTGTCCTCACTTCCACCTTACCCCCACTCCCATTTTATTTTGAGCTAAGGTCTTGCTACATGGAACTTATTAAATAGACCAGTCTGACTTTGAATTTGTGGATATCATTGCCCGGGTACCAAGAGTACAGGCATGCACAACCATGTGGTCCTTCCCCACCAAGTTTGACTGACAATTGGTTGGAATCACAATTAAAAAAACAGTACATGTAGTACCTGCACTTGACAGTAAAACAGATCCGGAAAGACCAGCCAAACAATGGATTAGCTCCTGCATGAGGAGAGTGTTAGGATCAAGATTTCAGTAAAGGGGACTTGGATCTTGTCTATGCAGTGTTCTGGCTGTTGTGCACATCCTTCTTGTGTCATTAGAAGTGATTATAGAGCTGACACTTGGGCATGAGTGTGTAGAGCTGGCTGAGAAGGCTCTCACCTGCAGAAGGCCTGCGAACTTGACCACTCCCCAGCCAAGCCTGGATACATCAGGCTCCACCAGGCTCATCTGGTAAATATCCACAGCCAGGAAGCGCTGGACCAAGCCGCCGTCCTTGGTGATGACTGTGCATGCAATCAAGTCACTGTTATCTAGGAGGAGGAGCAGAGAGCAGAGAGCAGAATGAAGTGAGGCTTAGTACCACACAGACTGGGTTTGAGTGCCTCTTAAGCCAATTCTGCTAAGACCTCTTTAGGCCTCAGATTCCTTAGGTTCTCATAGCAATGCTTATTAGGACTGATATAAAGCACACAAACCACTAGGTGTTAGGCATACAAGCTACACTAGCAACTGACTGGAGGTGTAGCTCAAGGGTAGAACCTGCCTGGCATGTACGAGGCCCTGCACCAAAACAACCACCACCCAACAGCTCAAATTCCAGTGTTCCTTTGGGGCTGAAGGTAGTTTATAGCTATGATGATGTTTTTGCTTATGTGAAGACAGGAAAACAAGGTCCTCTGCTCTTTGTAGCAGCACCACAAATCCTCAATTCAGTGTCTGAAAACTTAAGAGCCCAGCTCTGAACTAGGTGGAGTGTGACCCTGGGCCAGGCACTGGGCCCCTCTGAACCATGGCTTTCCATATGTGACATGGGAAGAGGGTCCCTTATCTCAGGATATTTGGTACAGAAAACAACAGCTGCTAGGAAGGAATTTGGTATGAAATAGTACATACAGCGCTCCAGAGTACATCGCAGGTCCCTTTTCCTACTTGAAATCTATACCCAAATCTGTTTTATTCAGCACCAATGACTCTGAAGTTACTTGAGTAACACAAGCCATCAATCATACCTGCAGGGCAGGCTGAGTTCCGTACAATGGGATCTTCTTTCATGTTTTCAATAGATAATAGCTAAACCAGGAAAACCCCAAATGTCCCCAAATCGGGGACAACTTGACCCTGACTTTCCCATCAGATGGGAAATTACAAACCCATATAACAACACTATACTTAACTAAACTTGGAGCAGCAACTATCTGTGAGGAGGGACATAGGAACTGGAACGGGAGTGTGTGTAAAGGAGCACTAGGATTAATGGAAGAACTTTCATTTAAAAATAATTGCTTTTTATTACATTTATTTAGTTACATGTCTGCATGTATCTCATCCCACCATGTGTGTGAAGGTCAGAGGACAACCTGAGGGAGTTAGTTCTCCCTTTCACTATGTAGGCTCCAAGAATTGATCACAGGTCCTTAGGATAGGCAGTAGGTGCTTTTACACACTCAGCCATCTTGTCAGACCCCTATTTATTTTTTGAGACAGGGTTTCACTATTTAGCCCTGGCTAACCTGGAATTTGCTTCATAGACCAGGCTAGCCTTGAACTCACAGAGATCCACCTGCCTCTGCCTCCCAAGTAATGACACTAAGGGCATGGGCTACCATGTCTGGGCATGTTTTTACTACATCTATCACTCTATTGCTTAAAGTTACTTTTAAATGAGAAAGTATTTAAGATGTGCTTTTGAAAAACAACAACAAAAACCTGAGGTAAAAATCATACTGAGTCTGAACATGTAGCTCAGTGGTAGAGTGATGGGGGAGGTCCTTCTGTGTACATTTTTGTCTTATTGGTTGATAAATAAAACACTGTTGGCCAATAGGGAAGCAAGTTAGGCGGGACTAGGAGAAAAGGAGGATTCTAGGAAATGTAGTAAAGAGGAGAATCACCATGTGATCCCAATAAGAGAGGACACATGCCGCTGGCATCCTCAATAAGATAAATCTTTATAAAATATATAGATTAATCGTTATGATTGATATTTAAGACAGATTTGGCAAATAAAAAATCCTAGTCATTGGCCAGCAGCATTGTAACTAATATTAATCTCTGTGTTATTTGGGGGCCTTAACGTGGCAGTGGAACTCAGGCGGCTGGCGAAAAGAGTTATAGTTACAGTAAAGTACTTGCCTAGCAAGCAGAAGGTTGTAGGTTTGACTCCTGTTAGCACATATGCACACAAACTGTGCTCATGTGAGGCTAGGGTAGTAGTTCAGTGGGAGAACATTTGCCTAGTATGTGTGAGGCTCTATCTAGATTTGGGGTTTGATTTCCAGCTGTGTGTGTGTGTGTGTGTGTGTGTGTGTGTGTGTGTGTGTCGGGGGGACTACTTACAAACTACAACAGTGGAAAACACTACAATTTTAAATGAAAAAGACAGTAAAACATTTAGTTTCATGATTTTGAGATGTGAGAAAAGTATCTGTACAAAGAATTATAAATCTACTGTGCAAAAGGAAAGGTAACACAGGGATACATTCTAGCTCCAAACACAAATGGCAACAAACTTGAACTTGAATACTATCTAAGGGGCACTCAACCTCATATACAAAGCTTTCCACTTTCCAACTGGCCTGAAGATAAAAGGGAAATCTCCCCTCTTCTCTCTCTTTAGGCTACCCTAGTACAGTTCAGCTTGGCTCTTTGAGGTATAAGTTGCCTGGAAATCTGGCTTCTGTGTGAATGTTTCCAGAATATTCTCCCTGCTTTTCGTTTTCTTTTTTCTGGGCTTTATGCTTCCATCTCCTCTTTGGTATATAACACCTGGGACATCATTCCTTGAAGCAAATACAAGCCCAAATGTGTGTAACTTCCTGTACCTGCACTTGTCCTTTCTTGTTATCTATGGCAAGAATATCCTTTTTCATCCCAGCTATCTGGTCAAGGAGACAGAACTTTTAGACAGGGTCTTGATATATATTCTAGGTTAGCCTCAAACTCATTATGTAGCCTAGGCTATCCTCCAACTCAAGGTGATCTTCCTGCCTCCTAAGTGCTGGGATCAAGGTATAAGCCACCAGGCCTTGTTTATATTTGAACCTGATTGTTTTTTCTTCAAGATTTTTTTCTTTTGGTGGTGTACGTTTGTGTGTATGTGTGGTATGCCTGCATGTGGATACCAGGGTCAAGCTTGAGTGTCAGTCTTCAAGAGACACCCACATTAATTTTGGAGTCAGGATTTCTCACTGGGATCTGAGGCTAAAATAAAGCTAAACTGGCTGGTTGGCCCTTGCGCTCCAGAGATCCACCTGCCTCTTGCAGCCTTGGGGCTGGGATTTTAAGTATATACCACCCACACCCAGGGGATTGAACTTAAGTCCTAATGTTTGCAGGACAAACACTTTACCATGTCTCCAGTCCCTTTGACCTTGGATTTTTAATTCCAAGGTGCATGGTTTTCTTTTGTCTTTTTAGTTATCAAGAATGAAAGCTATCTTGATCATTCTTAGAAGTATTCTCTTTGTGGCAGGTGAGATTTATCTTTTACTCAATATTTAAAATATTTTCTCACTGAGAATCTTTTACTTTTAAAAAAATTCAGCAAAGCTAGGCATTGTGTGGTGTACACCTTTAATACTGGCACTTAGACATGTGCATCTCTTGAATTTGAGGTCAACCTGGTCTACAAAGTGAGTTCCAGGACAGTCAGGGCTACACAGAGAAACCCTGTCTTGTAAAACCAAACCAAACCAACCAATCCACCCCCAAACCCAAAACAAACAAACAAACAAACAACAAAACCCCAAACTAAAAAACTCACATCTGCATTTTTCTTTCCCCTTTCCTTTCTCCTTCCTCCCTCTTCCCTCCTTTCACTTTCCCTATGCCATTATCAGGACAACACATCTTTTATTTACCCTTACACTTTGGAAGAACTGGTCTGGAGGTCAGACCAGTCACCAATGATGGTGACTTGGGGCTTGTTGGGGATGGTGGGATTCACTGACAGGCAGTCTGACTACCTCACAGAGCTGAGTCGTCTTAGGGGCTTCAGGGAAAAAGACCTACCACTGTCACCACAAAGAACAACAACAAAAAAAGAAAAGACAAAACCCCAAAACGGAACAGCTTTCAGAGATGTCACTGAAACATCAAAGTCCCATGAAGACACAGGGAGATTTCATCAGAAATAAGAATACAGTGTGCAGGTGAGGGAACAGTGGGGACAGGTAAAGAAGAAAAGAAGTGGTATCCAGAGACTAACTGGGACCATTGTACTTGAGGAAGCAAGTAAATACTGGCTTGGAGTGACTTGCCTGTGAGCCTGTCAGGTGTCATTTGAGGAAACCTTGCCCCAACTCATGTGGAGGTTTCAGTACAGGAAGAGCCACTGAGTGGAACCCTAGTTTGCCCAGTCTCCATCTTCAGGAGAATGTGGATTTTTCTGGGAGTCAGAGGCAGTACAGCAGTGTGTTGAGGCCCTGTGAGGTACAGGGACATATAGGAGGGATTCAGTAGCAGGGAAAATCTGTCCTAGTGTGTGGAAGCCTCAGGATCTTCTCAGCATGGCTCACTAGATTTGCCAGTGCAGGCGACCCAGGTGTTTCAGTCACCCTAGCATGCCACATTCCAGATCTTGGTGCCCATCTAACTTTCCTGGACCCTTCTCCGGCCATATTCAGAAGGGTTTGGGCCTAGACTTCCCTTGAGAAACACTGCAGAGGGATTGGTAAGATGGCTGGGGGTAAAGGTGCTTGCTGCTAAGCCTGATGTCCCGAGTTCAATCCCCAGAATCCACATAGTGGAAGAAGAGAACCAGCTTTTAAGTTGTCTTCTGACCTCTTCTCACATGCTGTGACATATGTGTGACCACACACACACACACACACACACATACACACACTATTTGTAACTGTAAAAAATATAATTACAAAATACTGAAGGGGCGAGGCATAATAGCATTATCACTCATGTGATCCCAGCTGCATGGGAAGCTGACACAGGAGGACTGCAAAGTCAAGCCACCCTGGACAACTTTGTGTGTGTAAAAAAAGGCTGGGGCCACATAGCTCAAAACAAAAACAAACAAAAAATCAAAACCAAAACCAACAACAAAAAACCCAATAACAGAAACCACTGCAGAAAACAACATAGAAGATTATTCAAATGACCTAAGTGGCAAAAGATGAACAATATAATGACTATAAAGGACACAGGTGAGGAGATGGGGATAGCTAATGAATACAAAAAGGGCCCCGTCCTCATGAGGAGTCAGTAACAATATCGAAACAAGATATCTTCTTCTACCCAGTGGGCTGGCAGTAAGAAGAGCAGTTGATAATATCAGGTGTTGCTGTGGACTCAGAGA